ACACCGGCGATGTAAAGGAGTCGCGCCATGCGACTAGATCGCATCGCAAAACGTCAGGTAGTCACACTGGCGTGCGCGATGAGGGAGTCGCTTCTCGAAAACTCACTCTCCGAACGCCGAGAAGTTTGCGTGGCGCCCCCTTACGGCGAACCGGGGTGACGTCACGACGAGGACAGAAGTTTTGCCTGACTCGCTCGCCTTGTGGAGGCTGTGACGACGTTAGCTTTCGGTGCGCTCGTTTCTATTTAATTTTTCTTTTGTGTGCGTTTTTCATAGGAAGTGTAAATTTTCACATGTGACTTTATTGAGGTATGGCCTGTAGCCGCAGGCAGGCGAAACTTCAACCATCAGAGGTTATTTGTCTCCTTTCTTCCGTCCCGTCTGTTTCGCTGTACGTTTTAAATAATCATGCCTTACCAACACGCCTAAGCTTCCATTCTGAACAATATTTCAGGCATGGTTGACAGGGCAGGCAAGGCATGAATCCTAGCTGGTATATGAAAATGAAGAAATATGGTTACAATGGCAGAAGCATCACTATAGATTTGCATCTCACACAATCAATGCTACTGATAGTCTGAATGAATAGGTAGGCTATGTAAACTATTTCGTTTTTTTTTTAGTCTGTTTCTAAACAAAAACGCCGAAGCAGAAAAGCTGCATGCTGCTTCCGCAACATGTTGAATGTACTCTGGGCCATGGAGAGAGAATCACATGTGAGACAGTCCAAGTACAGGAATAAAGTAAACAAAGAACGGACACAGGCAAATACAGTTATTTCTTTATATCTGTTTATATTGTTCGCATTTGGCCTTTGCTGGATTCGGATAGTATTTTAATGGACTCGACTGCTGTTATCTGTGGGCTTCTTGATTATATCACTCAAGTAATGTACAACAAGCGTAGGTGAAGGTGTCTACCCCGTTTTTAGTCCCTTTGGCTCTAAAATTGTGATTTTAACTACATCAAACTGGTCCTGAAGATAAAATACCAGAAGCTTTAATCACGCGAACTGCCACCCTTCACAGGTTCCACATTTTCTGCTATTAGTGCAGCGTCAACCACTGGACAGCCGTTCGAATGCTCGCTGTTCCTCCTGTTTTCCACTGTTCTCAAAACGTCAAGCTGTATGGGAGTTTGGAGGCTGAGGAAGCTTTTGGCACCTGCAGCAGTGTCTATTTTAATTGAAAATGAGAATTCATACTAAACGGTGTTTTTCCCGAATACACGAGGCTGGAATAAAGAAAGAATGTCAGGAAAAATTACAAACAAACAAAGTATACGGTACTATTGCTGCGAATATTTTGGACAGTTCAATGCATCTCATACAGGCAACTGGGAGCAATTCGGCCGTTTTTCCTGCTACCATGCAAACGCATTTCCAGCAGTTGTGTGTGTTCTAAAAAATAAAACATGCCTGTATACGTCCATATCATTGATTCACAAAGAAGCTACATTGATGTAAAACAACCCTACCCCACGAGCACTTCAAAGGTCTTCAGACCGATGGCCTTTAAAACAGTATACGAACCAGCGCGTGCTGAGTGGCACACGCAGAGTCGGGGTCGCGAGCTAATTTGCTGACCGCCCGAAGGCCTTTGATATAAAGACATTTAAAAGGATCGCAAAGCGGGATGTAATATTCTGCAAAATTATGAACATGCAAGGAATAGAATTCTAGCGTCTGAAACACTTACGCCGCCGCTTCACCGACCCCTCGCACGATTGCGTTGTGCCCTGTAAACCGACAGGGAGGTTCATCAGCAGAACGGCTTCCACCGATAGCTTTCGCGATTTTTAACCCGATTATAAATGTCAAAGTGACAAGCACGCTTATAGAAGGTACGGAAGCACGTCAGTATCGGCCTAGCGCAGAGTCTTGTACACCGGGTAAACAATGTCCCGCTCCTCGAAGTACTTGTGGCCCACAACGGCCGAACCAGGAAACCAAGGCAGGGAAGCGAGCCGAATGCGAGATCGCGAAGCGGAGTTTTTCCCTGACGTCACAGTACACCTCACCCAATCAGGGCGCGGCGACCGCAGCGACGCTTGTGTTCGCTTCGCAAAAAGTCCAGTCAGCTAGCGACTGCTCAAATCACGTCGCTCTTTTTTTCCGCGATGTTCGCTTTTGGGATGAAAGTTATCGCGCGACTAGATCGCATCGCCGGTGTGAACGCGCCTTAAAGGGGTTTTGCACTCCTATTTAAGCGTTTTACCATTTTGCGGTTTCTTTCCACGTCTCTTGGGGTGTCCTCCTTGGTCCAGAAAACTGGACCAAGGACAACACTTCCCCTGATACCACACCATACGTTGAATGACCAATGATATTGGCTTTTTGTCCTCAACACCCAGTGAGGATTGTGAATTTCTGGCGAAGCTCGCTTCATCTGTTTACAGAATTTCCACATGGAAGTCTGGGTCTTCCTCCACTTGATTTAACATCCAGTTCGAAAATCGACACGGTTATGTAAGTCACGCGTCTCGAGCCCCTGGTGCAGTTGCACCTGGTAAGGATGCATACGTTCCTGCAGAATATTCCATACGCTTGTCGTCGAAATTCCAGCTTCAGCACTGATACAGCGGACACTGGCGTGAGGGTTGTCGAAGGTGTGGATCAAAATATCCAGTTGGTGACATGTGCTTGAAGAACTGGCGTCTCTTTGGAGGTTGTGAAAAGAGCCGTGGTCACGCATAATTCCTGAGCATCGTTGACACACTAGGCTGTGGCCCTGGATACCACGTTAATAAGAAGAGCGCTGCGGTGTCTCCCCTTCCCGTTCGCTTGTCCTAACGCCCATATCGTATTAGCCCTTTCTTCGTTCGAGTAAGACGTCATGCATAAGGCCGCCCTAACATATATTGCTAACATACCAGCTTGGGCGAGTTGCTTTCCGGACGCCCGTGTGGCGCCCGTAACGCTTCCTTCTTTCCTACGAGAGAGGGGAGGCAGGCGAGGTCGAGGCGGCCGAAGCAACTGCCGAAGCAACTGCCAAAGCTTGGATAAAAAAACAAAACCGGAGAACGCGTAAAAAAAAAATTTTTTTTTCCAAACGTCATGAAATGCCGGTTGTGCTTTATACCTGTCTAAATAAGGTTTCGATTATGTCCAGCAAGTTTCTAAGTGAGACCATGACCTTAAACTCAATATCAGAAAAATTAATTCACTTATCCCGAGCTTTAATAATTTCCCTAAATAGGCCCCTGACCTGGGACCAGAACGTCACAAGCCTTTTTTTCTGTGCGATCCGTAGTTTTGGCCGGAACGATTCGTTCCGCGTTTCGTCGCATAAAAAAGAGCCGTGAAAGCTACATGCGGTTTGTGCAGGGGAGTTATACAACCAGGGGGACATATTATAGGGGGCTAGTAGTAACAATCAGTCGCTTAATTAAGTACAATTTGTTGATTAACTTTTTAATTTGTGGAGACATATGGTTCTATATTTCGTTTCATCCGGACGTAGCCGATGCTACAAGCGCGAGCATGTGGCCCTGAACAGTGCGTGTCATGCACGAGCGCGCGTGCTTGGCAGGGGCACTGAAAGCCCGGAGCCCGCGGTTGTAGCACCGACCGCGTCTGGACTTCAGCTGAAACGAAGCATAATTAGAAACTTGCCTAGCGTCATCGAAAACCACTAAATCAATACTTATTAGAAATACTATTAAGCGCGTGGGAAGCGTAGTAGTGCATGAAAGGTACCACTCGTGCAACAGGTACAAGGCTGGGGCTATGATAAGTGAGAGAAATCGCGCGGGCGTCTTATATTGCCCATTCGTAAGCCTTGCTCTTGCTGTACGAGTAGCAACTTTTGCGCACTATAGTACTGCGCTTTTCATGCGCTCAGTCTTTCTGATAATTACTGATTATTGGATTTCGATGACGCTCAGCAAGTTTCTAATTGGAGCCATATGTCCATTTTCACTAATAAAAAGGTTAATTAACAAATTCTACTTAAATTAACCGACTGGTCGTTACGATTAGCCCCCTATACTATGTCCCCTGGCCGTAGAGCTCACCTGCACAAACCGCATAAGCGTAGCTTTTACGGCTGTTTAAAAACAAATTCGCCAAGTAAAAAACAAAACAAAAAAAAAACGAGAAAAAAAACCCCTGTATATATGTATATACAATTTTATCCTAACCAGTTTCTTGCCTCCCCCGCCCAGTGTTCTTTTAATTTTTTATTGTTAGCTCGATTAAAAGAAAAAAAAGGTTCTTGGTACAAATTAAGTTATGCAAGTTTGCATACTTGAATCATTTCTCCGAATTTTCAAGCGAAAGCGGCTGAACTCAAAATTGCTTTCTGGGATACTAATTCCAGAAAGCAAAATAATACGGCTTATTTGACCCGCTATAATGAATATTGGAAGGTTCCCACATGCACGGCAAATTATGGGCAGAAAATGCTTCGGTATTTAACTCCAACGCTTTTAAACAACCTTGAAGAATAAAATAGAAATATAGAAACGATATCTCCTAAAGAGTTGCAAAACATATCTTTACATATTTAAGCGTTCTATGTCTTGTTTATGTTCTCCCATTTGTTAACGTATAATTTTCTGTATATGATTTTTTTTTCTTTTTTTTTTTTTTCACTGCACGAAAACTGTTTGTTCAATGTCTGCCGATGGGGCTGAGGGCCAGTCGAGCTTCTTGAAGCTTTTTCCCTTTTGCTCCACCATTTCTTTAAATGGAAATAGATTATTATTATTTTCATTTTGCCGTCGCAATGACAATCTGTCTTGAGTGTAAAACAAGTGTAGAGCCATGCTGCATATGAGGTGGAGGGGTGCGTCTACCCAAAGGTCAATTCCATTGGCAATTTATCTCCCGACCTAAACAAATGCAATGACAAGCTGTGAAACTGCCTATTAAAAATATTTATTTCGCTCACCGTAAAGCGATGCTTGGAGCAATTATTACAAAGGTGCCCTCTAAATTGGCTCAAAATTGGACAAGCATCTGATCCACTTTCAAGAACACACACACACAGAGTCACTCGGAACTATGGAAATAAAATTTATGCCAAACCTTTTCTCTTTGGCAATCTCGGCACATATTTACAATATAGAGCATTGTGTAGTCCACGAATGAATTACATATTTTAAAAATCGGCATACTTTTCATGACAGTGGTGTAGGCAGAAGAGAAAGGGGTGGGTGGTTCTGTCCACCCCTTGTCAGTACCACGAACAGAGAAGTCTGTATTCGAAACGACTTTCGTCACATTGAACTGATGAGTACGAGTAATGTAAGGGTGGCTAGACAGGGTTCCGGACATTTTGTCGAACGCCATTTCACCGAAAAGTGGACATTTCATCGAACGCAAATTCATGGAACCCCGTTTCATCGAATCGCGCTTGACGCAGTTCCATCGAATTTACTTTTACTAAATTTTGGAGTATTACAACTCTTTACATAATTTACTATGTTTATAAAATAGATATGACGCCGATCTCGAATCACCAGAAATAGAATTACTACCCCTATCAATTGTCTTCTAACTAAATGTTGGTTACTGAATTATAGAAGTTAACTGTCATGTCAAAAGTTGAGTGGGTACGCGACTAAACACACTTTTTCCCACTTCATCCCCGTGTTCACGCGTGAAAGTCACTTTCAGAAGAGGGAATCAGTTATTCTCCGCAGTATTTTCATTCTATCCCAAAAAAGCATTTTTCTTTTTTTTTTTTTTTTTTAAGAACGTACATTGTATTTTGAAAGTTCGGCAGGTCCACGGTTCTGTCGGTTACAATAAGTTAACAAAGAGGGGAGACAGGTCTTCTGCATTATGCGACATGGAAACAGACCATTGCTTCAAAAACAGTCTTCAAGCAGAATGCGTCTCTTCCACGACGAAGACACGCCCTTGAACGGACGTGCGTTCATCATTGCACCCGATGTTCAGAGGTTTAAAAAGTGTCGTCAGTGTTCGCATTTTTTACAACAGAAGTCATCATTTACTCGAAAACATAAAAAATAGGAAAAAAGTTTTTTTTAATAAATTTATAAGCTTACAAATTATAACCAATATTATAACACTGCTATTCACAGGGTGCAAATAAAAAATTATTTCCTATGTGTAGAATCCCTTCTGCTCAAGTGGGTGGTGTTCGATAAAACGACTTCGATCAAACGGCGTTCAATGAAACGGCGTTCAATAAAACGGCATTCAATAAAACGGCGTTCGATGAAGCATGTTCAGTGAAATGCCTGGACCCAGGCTAGACACTAGAGACAAACCAGCAGCAACCAGGCAGTGTGACGAAATGAAAATAACCCCTTAATCATGAAAAAAACAGTGTCCATCACAATATACACGGTCACATTAACCTTTTCCGGAATATATGCCCCAAGCTGAAGCAAATTATCTAAGAACTGCATTCCCAACACTGAAGGGCTACTCAAGAAAACTTTCTAATAAGAGCAAACATATTCTGCGTCTCAATCATAGTAAACCAAAATCCAGTACGGCTCAGGTCCTCATACAAAATGAGTGTTCTGATGTTTTCCTTACATGATTAACATATTCTAAACAGAATGAACATGACTTCCTGGCATAATAAACACACAACAGCAGTGCTTGAAGTCAGGGGGGTCTCGGACCTCCTTGGTCCGAGACCCCCCTGGCGTTAGTGAAAAAATCTTAAGTACTCCATCCTGTGATCAGAAGTGATAGGATTTTACCCATTCAAGCTTTGTTGAGTAGCAATTTCTAGAGAGAAAAAAAACTGTTGAGTCGCCACGTCGCTTTCGTGTGGAGCAAACTGGCGAATGTTTCGGGGACACTTAATTCTTGACAACAAAAATAACCAGAATCCATGTTGGACGGTTTGGTTTCGTGGGGAAAATGCCGGATTATGCATACGTTTTAATCAAGTTGTTTTTGCGTGCATCTAACATGACTCCCTCCCTCCCCCTCCCCCTCTCCCCTTTACCACAGCTTGTAGAGACCCCCCCACAACTCACAGAAGACTAAGCACTGTATAACAGCAAACAATGTCTCCTAAGCATGGTTTCACAACTTTGACACAAATCCCTTGCATAAACATCTTTACATATAAACTTACACATATCGTACATGCATTTTTAAAATTAATTGTAAAAGTGTGTTTACTGGATTATCTGTCCACAGGAAAGATGACAAGTATAATGTAATTTGATGCTTTGAAACCATTGCATGCTAATAGATAAAACCAAGCCAAGATTCTGAATTTATTTACCATTTTAGAAACTCACTTTCCTTCCTTGTGAGTGCTTTGAGGTCTTTTTTTTTTGTACTGATATTCTTTGTCCAAATTTATTCAAAAAGAAAGAATAATTATGAAAGAGTTCACATTCATTAAAACGTCGCACAGCAAAAAGTGCTACGGATGATCCTTTATACGTTAAATTATCACACAAGAAAAAATATTTATCAATATATATTTGCCAATGTCAACCCGCAATATCAAACAATACAAGGGCCATCTAAGATTATAGGATCCTAAAATATGAATGTTAATGTCTTCACAAAAAAATTATGACTAGCAGTGGATAAGTATCCAAATAAACCACTGGCCAGTTTCAAATATTTCCATTGTATCAAACACTTCCATTAGCATCAAAATAACATTGTCTGAAGAGGAGTGGTTTTCTGGGCTAGTTTACAAAACAGTTAGAAAAATGGTGAGAAATTTACAACAAGACAACAGATTCTGCAGTGACACAAGTGACTATGCTGATGCAAGAAAAAACAAACAAACATTACTGAGCTTCTCTGCAGTAAAAGTGGTTTCATCAAATAAAAACTAATATTGGCCGATTTACCACAACTATACCCTAATGAATCAATACTACTATACAACATATATTATCCCAGTTTGCCAATAACGACATGGGTGATCCACATTATAAAAATGCTCAACTAAAAGAAGCAAACACAACTTGAAATGTTCTTGTCAGATGAAACATTGCAGTGCACCTGGCCTCAAGCAAGGACCAGAGGAGAAGACACGTTTTCAGTTAAGGTCACACCATAGAAGAACTTGGCAAAAACTTGTCAGTGGAGATACAATGAGTATATTTTACATTCAATAAAACTGAGTCTTTCTCCCAATTTCTGGAGACTTCGTCAAAATTTTTTTCAGGCATTGCAGCAGCTAAGCAAAACTGTCTTGAGTCATTATTCGGTTCCGCCTGCTACACCTGCATTGTTGGAAAGCAAGAAAAACCATTGTTAAGCTGCTGCTGGAAAAATCAAAAAGAAAAAGTCACAGGGGGAAATAACAACGATAACAACGCATCTCCCACACATATTGTTTACAAGAGACAAAATTTTCTTTATGGTGCGTGAGAACTCGTTAATAAAACAGGTGATAAAAGATTGAAATGATATATGCAAGAAAATCTCAATATGAACATAAAGTAGCATAAAAAGAAGGGACATAAAAACGCAAACTGCAGCGGAAAGAGAAAAGTAACTGTGGCAATGTTTGGCCAATCTGAATTTATCTTGTACTGCCTTCTCTCAATTGCTCTTGAATGTAGCCTAACAAGATCAAATTAACAAAAAAAGAGAGCTTAGCCTGAACCTTGGCTTTGTGGTGTATGCATTTTAAAGGCCTGTTCACACAAGTGCAGTGCTACAACAGCACTATCTCATCAGCGCTGAATATTTCACCGACCTTACCTGGTTCAGCGCTGTCCTCGTGTTATATCAGTGCCAATGCAGTGCTGACCAAGTACAGCTCTAATGCTAAGTTAGGTTTATGTAAGTGCTGAATCCATGATGTTTCTAGTGTTGATTCAGCATTGGGCTAGCACAGTCAAGTATGTGTGAACCGGCCTTTAAGATGAGAAGAGCTTTAAGGAGTAGTATCCCTAGTGCATACTAGTACCGTAATCTTTTGAAAACAACCAGAGAAGGAATGAACAGCGAAAATATGGGTGTGCAATCCTTGTGGGGAATGGGGCAGATATAGCACATTAAAAAGTTGGCAGCCAACATGCAGGCCATAACCTACTAACTCTTGTGACATGACGCAACAGATACTGTGAATTGCAGACGAGGCAAACCGCCATTCCATGCATTGGTGTCGCGACAGGAAAGTGATAAGAAGGTTTGGAATGTGTCGTGTGTAAAATAAAAAGGAGGACGGGGGAGGAACAGTCACAGATGATGTGGAGGGACGAACGAGTATGGCACCAAAGAATGAGTCTTTGACTGGTGTGTTTACCGTGCCCTCATCTTTGGTCCCCCAGTTTATTTTTGGTCCCCCATTTATCACCAGGCAGAATCCTTGCAGTGGCACAGTGGAGAGAGGGGGGGGGGGGGGGAGGGGGGAACGTGGTTACAGCAGGTGTCTGCTCTAGATCACCCACTAGCCGGCCAGTCTACAGCAGCCATAAGTTGGAATGCTGCGACGGCTGCGACCCTTGCACCTGCAAGCTTCTCGCTCGTCGCAACCGACCAACCAACATGATTGCAACAAGAGACTGTAAAGGTGTCGCTTGCTTCTGCGAGGTAATTTGTTTCCAATTTGTAATTTGAACCATTTTCGACGCACGGGCAGTGTAGAATGCTAAACGCTCCAGTTGAAGATGCATTTCAGGCACCGCAATAAGCAAACCTAGTGCACTAACAGAACATGCCTCCTTTTCTTTTGGGACACTATCTGAGCTCTGGAGCGAGTGAGCTCCTCCCACTTCCATACAATGCCAAAAGTTAAAAGGGGAATTGCCTTCAGTAGTTTGAAGAAGTATTAATAATTCAATTAACCCAGAAAACTTTACTGTCATCAAGCCCCCACACTGATGGATTCAATCATTGAAAGTAGCACCTTGCTTCACAGAGCTAGTAAGATTGGCAATCACCCTCACGAACAACTCGTGAGGGTTAATTCAATTATTAGTAGTAGTGCATTCTAAAACAACTGAAGGCAAAATTAAGTATAGTTTTGATGGGAAAGTCTACAGGTTATTGTACTTGGCCTGTCAACATGTACTACACCCGAAGCAAAGACAGAGAGCAAAAGACAAAAGACAACTGTCCAGAAACATTCAAGCAGAAAACACCAGTAAGACCACCACCACCAGCACTGCAAGCTAAATGATGGAAGTCGCAATCCCCGTAACTCCCCACAACCCTCACACCAAGTCATATTACCATGTGCCACTCAGGACTGGACAGTCTGCAGGAAGCACAAGGATCGCTGAACCTAGCAATGCTCAGAAACACAAACAGTATATTAGGGGGCTGCATGTAATCGATCAACAAGGCACTGACCTTTCGAGATCACTGCAAACGCATCAGGGCATAGTTCTATGCAGCGTTGCAAAATGCTGGAGCACCAAAGTGGCTCAAATTTTTAGAGCGGGGGGTCACGTGACCCCCCAAGGTCACATGACCCCCCCCCCTAGGTCACGTGACCCCCCAGGTCATGTGACGCCCCGAGCTCATGTGACAACCCCCCCCCCCGAGGTCACGTGACCGCCCCCCCCCCCCCCCGAGGTCACGTGACCCCTCCCCCCCCCCCCCGAGGTCACGTGACCCCTCCCCCCCCCCTCAGTACCCTTCCCTCCTCCTCCTCCTCCTCCTCAAGAGCTGCGCTCTAATTCAGTGTTACAGGGAGCTGTAAACAGCTTTCATTTTTTTAAGTTGAACTCTATAAAAAAGTGAAAGCCGTTTACAAATCCCTGTAACGCCGAATTGGAGCGCAGCTCTTGAGGAGGAGGAGTGAAGGGTACTGAGGGTAGGGTAGACCCCTCCCCCTTCTCCTCCTCCCCTCATTCTTTAATATGCTCCGGGGGGGGGGGGGGGGGTCACGTGACCTCGGGGGGGGGGGGGGGGTGTCACGTGACTTCGGGGAGGGGGTCACGTGACCTCGGGGAGGCGTGACCTGGGGGTCACCTGAAGGTCACGTGACCCCCAAGGTGACCCCCACGTGACCTTGGGGGTCACGTGACCTGGAGGGGTCACGTGACCTCGGGGGTCACGTGACCTGGGGGGTCACGTGACCTCAGAGGGGTCACGTGACCTGGGGGGTCACGTGGGGGTCACCTTGGGGTCACGTGACCTTGAGATGACCTTGGAAGGGGTCACGTGACCTCGGGGGTCACGTGACCTTGGGGAGGAGACCACGTGACCTCAGAGGGGTCACGTGACTTGGGGGTCACGTGACCTTTAAAGGGTTACGTGGGGTCATCTTGGGGTCACGTGACCTTGAGATGACCTTGGAAGGGGTCACGTGACCTCGAGGGGTCACGTGATCCCAAGATGACCCCACGTGACCCCCAAGGGCACGTGACCTTAGGGGTCACGTGACCTTCAGGGGGTCACGTGACCTTGAGATGACCTTGGGAGGGGTCACATGACCTTGGGGGTCACGTGACCTTGGGATGACCTTGGTTACGCCGACGCCGACGGCGACGCCAACGCCGACGCCGCTCAAGCCGGGAACGGGCCCCTAAGAGCTGCGCTCTAAAATTCTGACCGAATAGTACTGGGTCATTCAAAGCCTCATCAGCCAAAGCATGGAATAACGGAGACTACTTTTATTCAAGTCGAGACAATAGCCCTTTACTGAGAAGTGTGCACTTTTGTGCCCGTGTCATTTAATGTGATATGTAACAGCTCCGAAGATGGTGGGCGTGGTACAACGAATTACTGTAAATGGTAGGACATCACAGACAGATGAATGTCACAATCACAACAGACAGTTCCACTTACAAGATGATATATGACATGTGGGTGAAAAGGCAAGGTGATGCAGGTAAAACATTCCAAAATTGAGAATGACTTATGGTTGTCCTAATCAGTTTACGATGCCTAAAAAAAAGTCAACTGCAGTACCACTTTCCCTTGAAGCTTTGTCTGATAACACAAACACCTAGATTTAGTTTTTGAAACCCTGAACTAATGATAAGTTTCATTGTCACAATTTTAACACTAGTAAATTTGATCAATAGATATGCATATATTTTTTAGCCGTCTAAGACGAGATCCACCTTCCAGCAGTAAGAACAAAAAAAGGGTGCAAATAAATGTTGAAGGGCAACTCCAGTATCAAAATCTACCAAGAAATACACAAATTTAATTGTGAAATAGACCCTAGAAGATGACAACCTGCAATTGCCGCTTCTTTTGGTAGTCACAAGGCTGTTGTGAAAAGAGACGCAGCTTGGTGAACATGTTTTCTCAGGTCTTCTTTTCTAATGCTGTGGAGAATTGACACAGCTACAGTATTTACTAGCATAATGAACGCACCCCCCACAACATCCATCAAAATTGACTTTTTTTTTTTTTTTTTTCTCGCATAATGAATGTATTTTTAATTTTCGGCTCTGCAAGTCTTGATTTTTTTTTTGCCGCCAAGCGGTCAGGTCAAGTCAAGCCAAGACAAGTTAAGCCAAGCCGCTTTCATAATAGCTGCAATTGCGTGGTTGCGGAAGTGATCAACCAAGGAAACCGAGCCGCGTGCATGCCCAGTGAAGCTGGGATCGAAGAATTGCCCAGCTCCGAGTGTGCTTTGTCCATCGGAAGCATTCATGTCAACGAACACGTTGCCGTCTGTGATCCGCTTTCAGTGGTGTACCAACTTGTTTTTGAGTGGAATGGCAAAACAGACCCCCCCCCCCCCCCAAGGCAACCCTTGGTATCCCTTGGGCGCCGCCGGCCAGAGCTTGCCCTGCCCAGTGGCGGCTGTTTCAGGGTGGGGCAAGCGCCCCCCTTGCCCCCCCCCCCGATTGGTACATCCATGTCCACTTTCAAACAGAGATATAATAAAAGTGATTAAGCCTAAGAACGGTCGCGCCGCTCTCCATGCTAAGGGAGCTTCATAGGGTGCTTTATCTTTGGCAAAAAGCACGCCAAAAGCGCCCTAAAAAAGGTTTGCTACTTATATAGCCCGATTACTGTGGCGCGCCCACGACCAGCCGTGGGCGCACCTCTGTCAGAGGAGACGTGCCACAGCACCCTGCATGTCATATTGGCACCTAAAATGACATTTGCACAGAGTGTTCATTAGTCATTTTAATTAATTATTTAACTAATTAATAAATATTGCTCATTTTCTGACGTCCGCTACCACAAGTAATGCGGTCCCGAGAAAACTATCCTTTTACCTCGATTAAACTAATTTGAGTAATTTTTGTCACTCTTATGTGAAACACCCTGTATATGTTGCCACTAAGGAGGTGACAAATATAAGGGGGCACACGATTAAAGAAAGACTGTGTAAACAAATGAGGAGGATGTTTAAAATCACTAACAAGCCATGTCCACAAGTGGTTTGCAAAATAATGCACTTCTCTTCGTCTACTGGAGCAGAGAGGTGCAACATTTTGGTGTCTATGTACAATGCATGTCCTCAGAAAGAGAGCAGACATATTGTATTAAACAATGTTGAAAACACATTGGCCTAGCCAAGCTTTAAAAACATTTCCATAGCCCTGCAAAAAGACTCAGTTCGATGTTTCAACTTTGGCATGTAGAGAATGAGTGCAGTCAATATATTCACTAATGACTTTATCAACTTCTTGCGTTTTCCCACTCAGCAATTAAGTTCACTGCAAAGGAGTGGATTTACATACTGAGTGCACTCCTCAAAGTGAGTAATGCAAATCCTTAAAGAAAGCTGTGCACAGTATTACACAAAAAACTTTTTCGAGGTCACTCTATACAGATTGTCACCCTCTGTCCGAATAAATCCAACAAATACAAGTCTACAACAGACAGGAAAATAACGCTGAACGTATAATGAAGTGACTAGAGTCCCATACAGTGCCCTCAGCAACAATGCAAAAGAAAGAAGTGGGCACTCCCTTCCAGGCTCAACAAGGTTATGAGAATGTACCTATGACAGAGCAGGCGCTCGAGAGAAAACCCCACAAATAGTCATTGGTCCCGGATGGAAGGAATCGAACCGGATGTAGAGAGTTGTGAGAGCAAGAGCACGATGGGGCGATATTGGTGGACGTTCAACAGGACATCAGGGGCTGGGCCTCACCGTCACTTTGGTTGTCAGAAGAAAGCACAGAGTCCACGGAAACCGCGTCACGGAGAAACGGCGGCGACGGCTTTCTCTGGGAGCTATTGAAGATACCGTATCCGAAGTAAACGAGAAAACCTGCGCAGGGCCAGAGTAAAAAAAAAAAAAGAAACTAAATATTGTGGACACGCACAAGAAAATGATGTCTCCATGTGGAGGTGCAAGCTATAGGGAGTATTCACTGGCGGTCATAGCTGAGCTCGCTGCTGCTTTCTTACCACCGGAGAAGAGAGAGGGGAAATTTTGAGTGGCAAGTTAATCTTCTATAATCTTCTAGAGGGAGAATAGCGATGTTTGGAGAAGCCTAGGACGTACAAAGGAGAGTCCTGGTGATAAGAGGATTTCTCCTTCCCTTCTTCTCGAGCGGTTCCCGGGAGCTGACAGGAAACTCTTCCCGGGCATGTGCTGTGAGCAGTTAACTCAAATATGGCGTCTAGTGAATACCTCCTATAGGATTAAAAAAGTACAAAAATTCTTTTTCTATAAAATGAATCTATTTTGGGATTCTCATTAGCTGTGACAACACCAAGTATTCACAGGGTAACAACATTAGATCCACTCTGTCACCATAATTCCCAAATTTACGGGCAAGATTCCACTTTCTCCCTCCTCTATAGAAGACACAAACATCCTTTTACTCTTCATTAAATTTGACAAAAAACGTAGGACTTTGCATTTCAACTTCCTTCTCCCCAATCTGTCTTACCTTCTGCAAAGCTGAGAAACAAAAAAGTTGAATAATCTGTTTTAGTTTGAATGTTGAATGCTTTGATTATGTTATGCAGTGAACGAGGGAATTGGTTAAAGGGCAACTCCGGCCAAAACTCAAAATGAAATAAATTACTGGTATCGCTGTAGTGACACAAAATATTATGTCCGTGGGACGCCGCATTCTCGACTAATGCCGATAATAAAAATGCGACCCACCGCGAGCCGCTGCTCTTTAGCGGGCGGCCAGTGGGTTGCCGATCGCTAAAGCAACATTGGGCCGTGACGTCAGTATCATTCTCTTTTTTTTCCTCCGGTCCGGGCGTTGCGCGGAGTGCGCTTCTTTGAGCCGCTACCACCGCGACTTCGACTTGTGATTGGCGTGTTTAGCCGTTGCTTTTATCTGTAGCCCATATAGCTTCGGTATAGTCTTTTGTTTATTTGCCCTTTTGAGGACTCCAAGACTCGTTTAGCGAGCAACTCGGTGTGCCCAAGACTACCCAGCTGTCCCTCGAAAGATGCCGAGTGCAACTTGTAGCACTGTGGGCTGCTCAAACAACCTGCTGCGCAACACTGAGGTGCTTTTTCTCAAGTTTCCAAGGGACCGGAAATTGTAGGTGTGGGTGAACGCTGTTCGACAAGTGGACTTTGGACTTCGGCTTTTACGCGCCCGAGGAAAAAAGAACGAAAAAACAGACGTGTACAGCCCAGCACACGTGTGTTCGGGCGCCGCGGCCCGCGCCGGAGAGCCTCAAAGCTTCGTGTTTGCGACTGACCCGCAGCGCGAAAGCAAGAGGGCCCCCAGTACTGTACGTCACTGGCAGCGCGGCACAGAGCAACGCCGCTCCATCCACGGAGCCCCGATGACAATTTAGGCCTAGCGATGAGTACGGAAGACCGCACACACGGCGACAGCCGCAGAGTACGGCACCGAACGAGTTCACTCGTTTTCCAGTCACTAGCTTTTGGGTGTATACAAGCGACGAATATGGCATAGTGCACGCACGGCGGCGGGCGCCGAGTACGGCACCGTACGAGTTCACAGGTTTTCCAGTCGCTAGCTTTTCGGTATATGCACTAACTCTTGATCCATATGCTGGATAACTACCACGTATACAGAAATGAAACAAAATCAGCTTACCTCCTATTGTTAGACGGCTAGCGCAACAGAGGTAGGTGCCGCTCGGCCTGCGTACTCGCTGAACGAGAACGATCCTGACGTCACATTCACATAGCGGCTGATTTCCAGCGTTGCTGGGGCCTCGAGCGGCTAATTTATTTTTTTTTTTGGGCGCGCCCCAAACAAAACTTTGAGGCGTCGATCGATATCTTTAAAACTATGCACAATAACGAGAAAAAAATTACACCTTGCAATTCAGGGATGCTGACTGCACTAAAAACAGTCATAATCCCAAAACCGAAAGTATGGACCGGAGTTGCCCTTTAATTTACCTTGGTTGGAAAATGTATTGACATAAAAATAACAAGACAAAATATGACACATAATTTCTTGCCATATTTGACTCTTCTGATGCTTCACAAGGTTCAGCAAAAGATATTCTGCTTATCCACGAGTCTGCAGAACCTCCTTTGCATCATTTTAGAAATGTCCGAAATATGCAAATAGGGATTGAACCTAGAAATCCTGGATTCAATCCCCATACTTGCTTTTTTCGATCCGGATGAGCACTACTGGCTTGCAGTCATACTGCACTAATTGAATTTCTTACCAACAGTGTAATTCAGTGTCGCCATACCTCAAAGACAGACTGACCTTGCATTATCTAAGCGTGATCATCAAATTCATACATTTGGGGGGGAATTGAGCAGAATATGATTTGAATAGTCAAACCTCTTTTAACAAGTTTTGGATGTATCAAATAATCTCGAATACTAACTTGAAAGCCCTTAGCCCTTTCTTTTAGCTCCCACACGACCCCCAGCAGAAAAGCCACAAAGAGAGCGGTGGTCAACGGCCAGCTTACCAAGCACCATCCACACAATGAACCGAACCCAGGTGGAGGGTGGTAGTCTCATCATGAGGTAGAGGTTCACAAACATGTTGAACATTGGAATGTATGGTACAAACGGCACCTAAAGATTGGCAAGAATGGCAAAACGGCATAATCACTTGATAGCACTTGCCACAAAAAAACACTCGTTAAGCTGCACGAAATCATAAAATAAGTATGTTATAAATACATCAATCCAAATAGGTAAACAAATAAAAGAAATAAACGAAATAAGTAAACTGCAAAAAAAAATTTAGTGAAGAAATTTGACCCCAGGTTTCCTAATGACGGGCCATCAGTGTTAACAAAGCACCATGCACATATGCTTTTCAGAAAATTTGTTTGATAATGCCGCACAGCTGTTAAATTCCTTTACGAGTGAACATCAAGCACCAATAGATTTTCTTAACATGCAGAAAGAACAACTGATGTTGAATGTCAGAGCAACAAAGTTCATTACCTAACAATACAATAATTAATTTTTCTGCAATGACATTCGACATTAGTTTAACAGCCGAGTAACCAGTGACTCAGGCCTGTAGCAATTGCATGCCAGTAGAATGTCAGTATAGAGACATTTTTGGCAAATTCTCTTAAAATGGTAGTAAGAACATTGGCCCCCTATGAAGAGAACCTTTTAGCCATTGCCACACATGAAAGCATGGATGCAGAGGTCCACTCACAGCGAAGGAGAGCGACTCTGTGCTGGCACTTGGTTGCCTTGAAATCACAATGATGCACAGCACCGCTAAAAGGGCCACGCCCGCAAAAGGAATCACCACCGGTAGGTCTCCATTGAAAAAGGGGCGTTCAGCAAATACCAGTATCCCGTTCATCGTACAGAACAGCACCCCTGTAACAAGAGAAAGAGAATGGGAACAGGTGTCACTACATTCAAGACTAATAAAAATTCAGAGTACCGCAAGTTTGTTGCCACAATTTTCTACACATTCAGAATCATCTTGCTGAGATGTGTAATACTGCACAACCCAGCTCCCTATACACCTTTGCAAGTGGGATCCTGGCTTAATCTCGAAATGCGTGCCAAGGCCAGGGGGACCTACTCTCCAACCAGGATGTCTGCTGCTTTTCGTACAATGTTGCCAGACATTCCTTGCTGAAGTAGACACCAATGAGCGCAGAGAAATTCTTAAAAGCTATTTATAAAACATACAGGCGTTGTCTTCAAAGAGCACAAACAAATAAAAAAATACCCGAGCCAGTAACAAACTGAGAAATTGGAAAAATATTGAAAATCTCAAAGCAAATATCAGAATACGCCAGAAGCTCCTTGCACACCCCCGTTGCCGCCAGTCAGTGTCCTTCTGAAAGGGCGTCTGCTACCAAGCTGCACACAGAAATAACGCAATTTTATCCCACTAAGCCCAGCAGTTTATTGCCGGACCTAGCCCTCGTGCACCCCAATGTCTTTCTCTTTCGCATGTGCACAAGTCTCAGAACTCGTCATAGCTACTGCGTTTCCTGGTTGGTCCACATTGGCGCACTCCAATGACGTGCCCCTGGCACACCCCGACACGGCGGAAATGTTACGCGGTGCCATTATTGTTGTTGACACCATTATTGTTAACCAAGTCCAGAATCCCCTAAAAATGTTGTGTTCGGACAACCCCATCCGTTTTTCCTAACAGCTAAGGATTGTTTCAGTATTGATGCAGTAGAGCAGACTTTGATAACAATACACATTTTAGGAATTATTTTTTCATACTTGTGCACCAATGCAAGACTAACATGCTAAAATAGTGCTTAAACAGCAAACATACTTAATGTGGGGAGAGATGGTGAAAAGAAATTGGGTATCGGGGAACCCCTGGGTCCCTAGAAAAACAGTTTGAGAATTCATGCCCTAGATGCTTGTTACCATAGCTGCACTTATCATCTTTCTACCAGCAATTTAAGTACCCTTTTGAAAGCCTACATGAAACCCCAAATAAAAAATAACATAGTTTTGTCAAATTAATCCACCCTCTGCAACACTAAATTAATTCTAATTTTAGTGCACAAAGTTTGCTTCAGCCATTCCATTAGACTCAATATGAACACAAAGAAGCAGGAATGATGATAGTAAATTTAAATTTAAAAGCATTAGTGGTAGATTTTTCACTCTACATAGCCCTGTGGCAAGGGCTGCAAGTACCACAAATGCAACTGCCAAAATCCAGGATGCACATTAGGACCTTCACAACATACTGTAAACAACTTCATTTTCGTAAATACCTAATTTACGCGAATTTCGCAAATCGCCTACAATTCGCGAAAAATAGGTCCCACGAACAATTCCTGTAAAATGTAAAATGCCTTTGTGGACCCCAAAGGGCCTGAGGACCCCCATTTGAGAACCACTGCCTTAAATTAAAAATTGTGCTTCTCAGACAATCTATTCCAGTCTAAATTTTAAGAAGGACAAACAGCAAAAATTTCCCGGCAATAAATGCACACTTCAGTACAGACCTGTAGATTCAGGCCCCCTCAATCCCATGAATGGATTGCTCCAAAGTCTCACCTAGTACGAGCGTGAGAATTTTCACAAGGTACGAGGTCTCCATGGTAGGGCTCTGGAGGCCGTCGGAGTTGAACATCGTTGTAAAAGAACTACGGGGTTTCAAATCCATTGCATCATTATCTAAAGTGCCCGCTTCACCGTGCGACTGACTGGGAACTTCGTACCTGTGCAGCAACACAAACACATTGAATTAGTTCTGTAGGTTTCCACACTAAAAGAGTATTGTGCATCACAAAATAGTACTTAGAAGTAGCGTTGTGCAAATATTCAAATAGTAGTTTAGAATATGCTATTCGGTTATTCGCCTTCAGGTGAACTGCGATATACATACATTTTGAAGTCTGGATCGCAGAGGGTTTGCACCGTTGAGTGCGCTTTTCACTGAGCCCCGGTGCAATGCAGAGAAGCAATACTCGCAAGCTCCGCAGGAATTGCTTCCCCGCAGTGCACAGTCGCTCGATGAGAAACACACTCAACAGGGTTAACCTGTCACAATTATACAAGAGTACCATATTCGTTTGAATACGAGTCCACCTTTTCTTTTCAGAAATGTCAAAAATTAAGGGTCGACCTATAATCGTGATCAGGAAATTTCGACCTACATTCGTGACCAAACTTCGCGATTCTACCGAGCACAGGGAGCTATCGAGTCACCGAGCCGGCGTCGCCGTAGCGCCGCACCGCTTCTTGTTCCAGAAAGCTTTAGGTGCACGAAAACAACCGAAACAGCAGCACCTGGCAACCCGCCGTGGCCGGCCGCTCGCGCACATCCCTCGGGCGTCGGGCTTTGCGCCTGTCCACGGCTGGCAGCCAGTGCTGCTTACGCATGCCCCTTGCAATGCAACGGGGGAAGGGGAGGGTGAGGGACACAATGCTACGGACCACGCATCTTGGCCCTCCCCTCCTTTCCATCCCTTTCGTGAATGCGCACCAAAACAAAATATGGAGATTACTTTCGCTTGATGCTCGCGTTTTTGTATTTGGTCTTTCGTCGCTTTGCCCGTCTCCACCTTCTTTTGTGTCTTGTTGTCACCATTTTACAATGACGTGTTTGAGATTGTTGCAAATTTATGAGGATGGCGATGAAGCTGACAAAACTTTCGACGACTATATGTCCGGAAGTTCTGACGAAGAAGTTTTTGGCATTGCGCTGTGATTGAGCTGAGAGCACTGTAAATAAATGTTTTCTTTTTTTTTGTTAGCCAAACTTTCCTCTTTTATTAAAAAAGATATAAAAAAAGGTTGACGTATATTTGAATTTGCTTTTTTTTTTTTTTATTCTCGGAGAGTTTAATATAAAGGCATCGACCTGTATTTGTGGTTGACTTATATTTGAGTATATACGGTATTTGTTAGGCACCAATGTCTTTACAGCCCACGTTCATCATTCATGCTTTTTCTTTTTTTGTAAAATTTGAAAAAGAGAATATTTGCATATAGGAAGCAGATTTAGAAATCCCCTCGATAAATCTGTCGTTTGCATGCCACAGCTGATGTAGTACATAGTAGTTGTGTTAAAAAAAATATAGAAAGGTTCTTGAAAAAAAAAAAATTTAAAGGTGAATTTTAGAGTATTTTTATCCCGCGAGTTTGAATATCACGTTCGTTTTACCCGAAGATGTAACTAAACACGAAAAAACACGAAAAACCTCCAACCAATCGTTACATCATAAAAGGACCTTTCGGCAGACAAGTGTGAGTTGCTCGTGTGAGCAAGCAACTGCAAGCTTGCCAGGTATATTCCCCCGCACCGACACCAGTTGAGACGTCTTTTGCTGACCTTTCTGAAACCAGCAAGAGTGCGCACGCACTCTTGCTGGTTTGATAGGTGCTAAAGATGCTCAAGAGCGGAGATTGTGAAAACTCCTTTTATGATGCAACGCTCCGCGAGGGACTTCAGCTGTACTTTGAAAATGATTTTCTGCAACCTTCAATCACTAAATTGAAAAATAATATTGATATTCGTGATCCTAGAAGCCAAATGAGGACGATTTAAGTGTTTTTACTTAAATACAGAACCGCCTCAGTTTCCGCTGTAACTGTGCGTTTCCTTTTCCTGGTCCTTTGTCCGCTGTTTTAGCCCATTCAATATTCCCTTTAAAGTACCGTATTTACTCGCATAATGAAAACACTTTTTTTCCCGAAAAATTGACCCATATTTGGGGGGGGGGGGGGGGGGGGGGGAAGGGGAGGGGTTATTACACGGAATAAAATTTTTGCATTTTCATACTTTGCAGAAATGTCATTTTAGTGCCATTATGACATGGCACAGTATTGTGACACGTCTCCACTGACAGAGGAGCACTCATGGCTGGTCGTGGGCTCGCCACAGAAATCATGCTCTGTAAATTGTAAACCTTTTCCAGGGCACTTTTGGCATGCCTTTTGCCGAAGAAAAAGCGCCCCAAGAAGCTCACACACCACGGAGAGCGACGCGACCTTCCTTGGGCCTAACCACTTCCACGATATCACTGTTCGAAAGTAGATCACACACGGCGGCGCGTTCGTTTACATCAATGCATCCGATGGATGAAGCACGTCCGGGGCTGGGCAATTCCTAGACCCTAGCTTCACAAGGCATGTGCACCATTAGGTTTCACGGTTGATCACTTCTGCAACCACGCAATTGCAGCCATTACGAGAGCAGTTTGGCTTGGCTTGACTTGGCCTGGCCGCTCGGCGGCAAAAGAAAATTGGCAGGCTTGATAGCTAGCTAAGTTGGACGCAGTTCAAGGTTTGGCGGGGCCAAAGATTAGGTGTGTTCATCACGTGGGAATAGAAAAAAAAAACTTTCAGCCTTTCCACTCTGGTGAAAAAGGAAGACCAGCGAAGCTGTACTATGATGGGACGACCTCAAGCACAACTTCCTGGACAACGTCTAGGACGACCTTGAGGACGACCTCAAGGACGACGCCCAGGACGACCTCAGGGGCAAAGTCTAGGACGACCTCACGGACAACCTCAAGGACGATTTCACGGACGACTTCATGGACGACCTCGAAGGCAACGTCTACGACGACCTCAAGGACTTCTAGGACCACCTCTAGGACCACCTCAAGGATGACTTCTAGGACAACCTCAAGGACGACGTCTAGGACAACCTCAAGGACGATGTCTAGGACAACCTGAAGGACGACATCTAGGACAACGCCTAGAAAAATTCAGCTTTTCCACTCCGGTGAAAACCAGAGTGGTGGTTAAACATTTTTTTATTGATGAAAGGGTTATGTCAAGGCCTCTTGATAAATATCATCTAGCCTTGATGGAAATAGGGAAATGGGTGATGAGGGTAGGGGAATGGGAGGGGGTTAAATGATTTGAGAAAGGCCCGTCGAGCATACGTAGCCCAACAGAGAGGTAAATATTTGTTTCCTATTGAGGTTGTCACTGGCCAATCTCATCCATTCTCTGTAGTTTGTGGGTCTGGCTTCCGCAGGCAGTTCGTGTATGGCAGCTTGTCTTTGCTTGCTGATGCCCAGACAGTCCCATATTGCCGCGCGCACAGCTGGCCAAGAAGGCAGCGCGCACGTGGCCTAACGGTTTATCGCGCCTGCCTCCCACGCGAAAAGCCAGGGTTCGATTCCTGGGAGCAACGCATCTTTTGTTATTCCTGCAATTTAGCTTTCTCGGAAATTCGAGAATCCTGTTGCTTGTTTGAGGTTTGAATGTTCTACGCGTCGAACATTCTACGCCTATTATTCCAGAAGCTCACGCATGTACATAAGGGGCTCCCCGTGGCGAGCCGCAGTCAGTTTCACCTCAGCGTTCGATCCCGCTGCTTCGCCGCCTTCGACGCCCGCGACGCTGTTGTTATCTTTCTTTTTTTCCTTTTATTTCTGGGCACAAATTCGCCCCGTTAAACGTTTTGTTTACTCAGTCATTCGCCGCTTTGTCACTCGTCATTCGTGACAATATAAGGTGCTGGCAGGCAGCAGGTACGCTGCAAGTTTTACAGAACGGATCTGGGCCGGGATCGTTCAGTGAAGTAAGCTTATAAAATCGAGCATGCCATACTGGGGTCAGGGCTGTGCATGTCTGGAGCCTTCGGATGCATACCCTCTCCCACCTGGTGAAAACCAGAGTGGAAAGGCTGGAAAGGTTGCCGCCATCTATGAGTGAAGCCGGCAAGCCGGTTGTCTGGTTGCCGCCGTCGCCCATAGATGGCAGTAGCTGTGTAAAGTTTTGTCGACATTTCTTTGCAGGGGACACGATCCTCGGGAAACTAGCCCTTAACAGCTCCGCTGTAAAAAAAAGTCCAAATATTGATGGCTGTTGTGGGGGGGGGGTGCATTTATTATGCAAGTATGTTCATTATGCGAGTAAATACGGTAACTGAGCTTAGAAGTGGACAAGTGGAAGGTTGGGAACAACCTTCACTACTTCAGCTGAATTTTCGTGCATGGTGCACGGTGGTGAAAAACTGAGATACTATTTGATTCGGAAACATTCGACCAAAAACAACTATTCGCTTCGAACTCAAAACACACTATTTGTACACGACTACTTAGAAAAAATGAAGTCATTCGATGTGATTAGCAGCATCATGCTCATCTACAAGAATCGTTAGTGAACTTGCATAGCAAGAAATACAATGAGCACAGCTAGTTCAATAATTTTTGCCTCTGCTCATTAGATTGGTACAGTAGTCTTCATTTTTGTTCAGTAATATCTCTTCAGTAAAATATAGTTAGTAACATCTGGTCAGTGATCTCTATTTGTTTATTAAACTGCCTCTGTTCAGTAATTGGTCTCTTAACTAATCTCTTCATTCAGTAATCTCTACCTCAGTTTTCTAACGTGCACAGTAATCTCTTTCTGTTCACTAACACACACCATAATCTATTTCAGTTCAGTAACATCTATACAATAATTCCTACCTCATTCAGTAATATGGTAGACACCTTGTATTTGTGTTTAGTCACATATGCTAAGTAATCTGTGTTCAGTAACATCTGTTCCGTTATCTTTGTCTCTTATGTAATTTCCATCACTAACAGTTTCATTTGTGAGTAATCTCTACTTTTGCTAAGTAACGTCCAGTCGGCAGTGTCTAGTCAGTAACACCTGTTCAGTAACACTTAACAGTAACCTTTGTTCGGTAATACCTGATCAGTAACATCTGTTTGGTTATCTCTGCCCCTGTTCAGTATCTCTGCCCTTGTTCAGTAATCTCCATCTATCTCTGTTTTGTAATCTCGCTCTCCGTTCTGCCATCTCTATTCTAGTTCCCATATCTGTCTAGTAACCCCTGTTCCCTAAATGTCTTCCCATTCCAAGTGATTAGTGAATGTTGGATGATTGCTAACAGACAACATTACTATTCACTACTTGCTGGAAAGTGCTTGTATATAAATGAAAGTGTAGCAAATTCCTGAAAAATAATGACCATTTGTGATCTGCACAAGATAGATTAGCTAAGGCTAGGCATGGTAAATAATTAGGCACAAATTAAATAAAGCAGTGTCAGTAAGGTTAGATATGTACCAAAGCAGCAGGCAATGAATCAGTCAGCCTAGTTTCACCATCACAGCACAGTGAATATGCATAGTTCTGGCTATCAAAGGCAGACAGCCATGAATTAGCACACCAGTAACAAAAAGTTAGTAACAAATGTTTCTACAATAAGACAATTAGCTGATCACTTGTGTACCATAAATTAAATATTACATGCAAATAGGTTTAAACATAGTGGCCGGAAACAAATAGCTCTAAACTGAAAATAATTGTGTCATGCTCTGCAGTTCAAGTTATATACATATCACACAGGTTGACAATGGTACTTTTAAACCATATTATTTACGAAGCTTATGCATTTCACACATGCAAGTCAAATTAGCCCCCTTCAGAAGCTAGCAAAAAAAAGAAAAAAGCAAGCAAAATGCAGCAAGCAAGAAATAGTTCCAATCAACAAGTACAAGGCAAAGCTTCAACCACATATCACACACTACACAAAAAACAAGGGCACATGAAGCTTCAATAATTAAAGCATTCATTCAAATGCCAGGATGCAAATTATCGAGAAGACTTGCAATTCATAGCTGTTGCAAAACCTTACCCAGAACAGATTGCATGAAACACAAGGTATTCTAAGTTGCGTGACTAAAAAAGGTAGCTACCCAAAACCAGCAAAGGCTGAGAAGAACTAGGAAGACAAATCATAACCGATTACACCACATCAGCCTGAAAAGACAGGAATGACGAGAACTGGAACATATATTACAATCGTAGTACAGTCGACTCTCATTAATTCAAACTCTCTTAATTCAAACTTGCGGATAATTCAAACTAACATGCAGGTCCCATCCCACGCGTCTCTATGGGAGAAAATTCCCAGTAATTCAAATTCTGCTTTATTCAAACAAATGTTTGGTCTTCCTCAAGTTTGAATTAACGAGATTCGACTCTATTAGAGCATTGCTGAGCAATGACAATATTTTTATACACAAGGCCTAATGTCCTTGGACAAAATCTGAAAAAGGCCATTGTGATGCAGCCTCAGACCTACAATGAGTGTGTTTTGCACAATATAAAAGAGCTCAGAGCTTCACTCAATACACAAAATCGTATACCGTATTTACTCGAGTAATACCCGCACTATTTATGAACAAGGCCCTTGCGTCCACTTTCCCGCAAAGCACATATACAGCCAATCATTGCGTTGCGCATAAATAACATAGCGACTAATTAGATTGAAAACATGAGTCTCCATACAAATGCAGTCTTCACAGATTGTATCTTTGCGCGAAGACGTTATCTCTGTCCTGTAAACCGCAGGAATCATGCTGTCGATCGCGGTGATTGGCAATCCGCGTGCTTTGCGGAAAAGCGAACCCTCAGGTTTTCTTCATAAACAGTGCAGCTATTACTTGAGTAAATACGGTATGTAACAACCTTTAGTCTAATCATAGCTAGACTGGAACTCTACTTACTGTAAAATACCGGGAGAGCGCCTACTCCACTTTCACTAAAAACTGGGTTAATCCAGAAATAGGTGCTTGTCCGGTCAAATTGGGCGGTTGACGTATAATTTGCAGAATTTCCAAGTTTGGGAAATGTTAATAGTGGGCGCTTAAATGAAGTGGGCGCGTCCGCAGTATTTTATGGTAGAGGAGAAGAACAGCGCCTGTGACATTCGCGTGTGATTCACCCGAAGCGGTAAGATTTCCACGAAAGGCTCAGTACGCAAATATTCTCGTTACCTTGCACAGTTAGAAAACATTGCATTTTTCAGAGTCTGTACCGTGATTACAGATTTTCAGAAATGCATTCGGTGACGATACACAAACACTGCTCGAAATCCACCAAAAGTATGAAGTCTCCAGTCGTTTGGAGAGCTTCTTTTTGAAACCACAACTTACATTTCGCTACGTTTTGAGACAGACACTGACATGGAAGCGTCGGGAGAAGTGATGGTGCAGGGAACAAGGGGCTCGTATCTGAGGGGAGGGGACCAGGATACCGGTTACTTATCAAACTTACTGACAGCACCTAGCTGCAGATTACCATGTCTCCATGCTTACTCTAACAAGCACTATTGATTGACAAGCCCTGCACATGTGTTTTCCTGCAGAGATACAGAGGGCAGCAATAATCTTACCTGTACAATCCTCACATGAAACATTTCACAATCCATGTAAGAATAACAATCCTCGCAGAAAATATTTCCTAATCCATGTCAGCACACAATCCTCGAAGACAAAGTGAGTAAAAAAATGAGCTAGTTCAGGTTACACAGAATTTAAATTGGGAAAAACGGACGAAAGAAGGGGGACAATCACACAAATGTCCATATGAAAATGTTTCGACAGAACATTCAGTGAATTTTCCGTAGACTGTTGTGATTGGTTCCCCCACCTTGTGGCCTTGTTCATCAACAATGCACATGGGAATGAATGAAATACGGCAAGTTACACAAATGCATGAGCTTGAGGCACGGTCAGTGTGTATACCTTGGTAACCAATCAGAATTATGTTAAAAGATTCAGCTTAAACGTAACATGGAAGATTGTTTCTCACAGTGGTGTTTCTGGAGCATGAGACAACCAGCAACCATAACCAGACCAGACCATAAAGTGTTGTGCAGTCATGCAACTTTTACTTCCATTTCATAAAATCACCCTTGTAGTGAGATTGATTACCAAGATAAACGTTGCCTTGAGTGTTAGCTTGACAAAAGAAGTCTTCAGGGCAAAAAATAAAACTTGCAAAGTCATTGAACCTAAGGTTAGCAACATGATGTTTGGATACCAGTTTGTGGCAGAAATATCAATGACTGAAATAATAATGAAATGTTGGTTACTCAATGTACCTGTTATTCTGGAAACAATGAACATGATAACACAAAAAATTTATACAAAGAGATAAAACAAAAGGTTCCTTTATATTATATCAGGGTGTCTTATAAAAACATTCTCACACACAAGCCTGCAAGAAGCAAACAAGCAACTCAACCGAAATGCAAAAAGCATGACCAGAAACAAGGACTGCAGATAAAAAAGCAGAAATGCTCAACTACAAGCCAGCAAATACCGCAGTTTCTGTTGGCAAGCAGCAAACAAAAATTCCATTCCAATAAGAGGAGAGCAAGTTCTACACATACCTGAGCATAAGCACAGAGACAGCAACTAGGCTGTAGGCCAGCAATGTGCCAATGGACATCATGTTTGCCAGTTCCTCAACATTAAAAATCATGGCCATTGTACCTTAGGATATGAAAAAATAGAGAATATGACAAAACTCAGCAAGCAAGTCTGGTATCACTAATTCCAAAGAACTACCAATTTAACATGTATTAACAGAGTGCCGAACCTAAAGTTTGTGACCAGTAAACTGGAGGACTACACTGACAAACTCAAACTATGGTGGCGCTTTGTCAGGACTTTAGACTAAGGAATGACACAAAAATGTAAAAAAGGTTAACTTCTTTGAGAAACTCATGAAGGTAGGTACTTCATAAAACTAATGAGCTCTAAGAAACTCCTTGAAAATAGCTTCTAAAAAATAGGGTTATTGTACATTCAGACTTGCCTTGACAAATCACTAGATTCTTCACTTTTAACAAAAAAAAAACATGGTAAGAAAAGTGTAAAATTTGTTAAAACAAAACAATATCCCTTCTCCAAAGCTTCTTACCATACGAGGCCACAGTTACATGTCTAAACCAAACAATGATGCTTTACCCCAGTTCTACCGCTTGCCAAATTATAAAACTGGCATTCTCTAGTCACAGTGTTAAAGGGATACTTCAGCGAAATTTGAAATATACTTGTCGTTTTCAAACATAGGTTGAATATGATCCATAATATCCGTAAATGACAATCGCACGTTTGTATTTTAGGCCTGGTGGCTGTATTTTTCATTAGAAACGACCCACTCTGAAAGCACTCGGGGAGCAGCCAGCAGAGAGCACGTGACATCCGACGCAATCGTGACGTAGGTCGTCTCAGGACGAGCATAGCTACGGCGAGGGTGACGTCTAGGGGATGGCCTAGTCGTTCCAGCCACCGAAGCGGCTGCTTTTGTGCGAATTTTGAGTGACGGGTTAATCTTCTATAATCTTGTACGGGAACAATCGCGACTTCTGGGACGCACAAAAGGGATTCTCGAGAAGAGGGGTGTTCCTCCTTCCCCTCTTCTCTCGTGGTGGCCGGAGGCGAGACGGTTATTGTCACTACCTGTCAAGGTTCCTAGACTGGCATTATAAACGAGGCCTTAGTGACATCTACCAGGTGCTCTTTGCTAATCGTTTAATTTGTTTCAAAATTCCTTTTCGCGTCTTTTTTTAACAAGATATTGGTGTGTCCGATGTGATACTGCTCCTTTGAACACATATAGACAAAAAAATAAGGGCCGAAATTTTGTTGAAGTATTCCTTTAAGATATATGTTCTGCCCTCCCTCACTGAAGGGTTCTTTTCTTCATATCTCACTTCCCTCAAATACGTTAATAAATATTTCCCAACATATATTTTGTTTTAACAAACAAACTGCTTTAAAGATATCTGCAAATTTCACAGGAGCCTATGGGGGAGAAGAAAGATTGCTTTGCATGTATAATGGACTTCTCATCTTTATCCATGCACCTCTCCATCGAGGGCATTGCATCATTTTCTGAAATGGCACGGGACATACAGTCTGACCGTGAAATGCCTCTCCACGCCTGCTAGATTATTACACTAATAAATAGTTGCTACCCTACTACACAGCCCTCGTTCCTCTGCAGCAAAGGCGGGGGGGGGGGGGGGGGGGGGGGGAGTGTTAGCACATTACTAATTCCCATTGGTTGCACAGGCTATGGCATCATACCAGCAGCTGCATTCTGTTGCTGTAACTCCCTTCCATCGCCTTGCTATGATGTAATGAACACCAACATGAGGAAGCAAGGCCAGGGACAAACCAGCAAAGACTCCCGAGAGCAGGGTGGCCAGCAGGGGGGTCTTGAGCCGCGGGTGCACGATGGCCAGGAAGCGGAAGATGAGTCCATCCGAGCCCATGGCATACAGGACGCGGGGCAGGGGAAACATGCCTCCCAGGAGGCTGCATCCAAGCGAGCATGCCAACCATTGTCCACTTAGTCAGTTTACATTATGCTCTTCCAAAAGGATCTATCATTAGCCATTGGTTATAGATCCTCATCATCATATGTATTGCCATTTGTACTGTTTTTGTAACAATAAAGAAAAAAAAAAAACGGGTTAGAACAGCGAGCACAAACTGAATCGACTGAGTATCAAATGCCATCTTCTATCAAAACATGAATCCCATCTGAACGTATGGAGGATGCATGCCTTAATTCAACAAAAAAAACGACAAAAAAATATTGCTTTCTTTGAAATTATGTTGAAGCAATTTTTAAAGTTTATCTCTATAACAGCAAATTTTTACTTGTATTGGAAAAAGATTTTCAAATATGAATACTGTACATTTAGAGAGAATTGAGCGTAAATACTTCAGAGATCAAGGCTGGAAATCTCTCCTAGAACACACGAGTGAGACAAGCGAGTGTGATCTCGCAGCCACACAAAGATCCGAGACTCTCGACCGTTGAAGCGGCTTTTAGCCTGCCTGTCACCGAAAGTGCCCATCTCCATGCACAACTACAGTCCATATAGGGCTTTCAGAGTTTCTTTGCTTTTTTGATTTCACATCTTCTAGATCACCTCTCTCTCTTCGCCACCCTCAACCCCATTCTTTTCCTCTTTAACCATATTGAATTAACCTGAGACTGGGGTAGAAGAGAAACATTAAAACGTTAATGGACAGGCTGACGTCTTCCCCCGTCTCAGGTTGATTCAACATGGTTAATATTCAACAGCTTGCCTCCACCCTTGCTATATTTTTTCTTTTCCTCTTACTCACTGTTTAGACCAGTAAAATGTCATCGTGGACACCTGTGGCATCCACTAAGACATTTTAAGGATCCGTGAAACTGCCTTATCAGCCAAGCCCAGCAATAAGATTTGTCTTCTTTTCAGATTGAGAAAAAAATGTTCAGATTTTTCGGAGAGCTTTTTCATGGGCATGTCAAGAGAAAAGTCTACTTCACACTAGCCCTTACTTATATTCATTTATGAAATCATTATCATAAATAAGCTACACATTTTCCTTTCCCTCACCACGAACGGGGTCCTCCATCATCTCCGCCTATCCACAAGGGGTTTGTGAAACATCAATGGTTGAGAACCACTGGTTTAGGCAATCGCCGAAATTGATGTTGTTCCCCGACAGACGTTTCCACTACAAGTTGGAAAGAAGACTCGTCCCGCCTCCATCCTTTTCCATCTGCTCATGTAAATAGATAAGCACACTGGCTTCCATCTAGCGATGGTAAGGACAAGGGAGCCTAGATTTGAGGGAGGGACCAACTCAAAACACAGAGGGTGGACGCCTCTTACGCATATTGGCACACGTGCTAGCGCGTGCCTTTTCCCCTGGCAAGGAGGACAGCGGGCAGAGAAGCCAAGCCAACCCTGGAGATGCTTACAGACGATCGACGTTTCTGCCTTTTCTCCGCAAAATACATTGCAAACGTAGCTCATAGGTCATGCGACTCCAATCCAGCGGCTGAAACGCTCTGGAATCTAGGCGCATTAATGACGGCAGACGTCCCGTGGCCCCACCTGGTGGAGAGTCCGGCCAGCGCTCCGATGGAGACGACCCACTTGGCGACGGGCCAGCCGGCCCGTTCAAAGACGTACGGCAGGGGCGCAGACACGTTCTGGTCCCAGTAGGGCCACACCAGGGTCTCGATGACCGAGACCCCGAAGTAGGCCAGGAACACGATGGTCAGGGACACCACAATGCCGATGGGGATGGCGCGCCGGGGGTTGCGCACCTCCTCTCCTACAACCGACGGTTGCGCAGTTATTTTTAATCGCACAAATTGGTTTAGCTTTCTCCGGCAGCAGGCATGATTATTGCAAATGCAACATGGACAGAGAAACCAGTAATTAGAAAAATAGTTAACTCATTTTAATTAATTACTCAACAGAGTGCGGCGGTCATCTGCTCCTATAATGTCCGCTGATCTCGAGAAACACCTAGCAAAGACAACATTTAGCTAGCAGTTTGCACTCTTCTTTAAAAATTTGGTTTCCATTAAAAAATATTACACTGTATATTAGTCCCACTTATGTAGCGTGGGACCGAGTGTCAAACAGTCAACCTGTGCAGTCAAACCCCACAAAAGCAGAGGCACACTACCAGTCCTGCTTTAAAAGTAAGACCGAGTATTAAAGACATACCCATTGTTGCGATGCAGTCAAACCCCACAAAGGCATAGAAGCAGGACGCTGCTCCATTCAGCATGCCACCAACACCATAGGGGAAGAAACCCCCAACTCCGGTGTCATTTCTGGGAATCTGAGGAGAGAGACACACTTAAAGGGATCAATCTTCAGAATGTGATACCCGATTCTGGAGCAGAAGGCTTTTTTTTATTAACGAAGGCGCACAAACAGACATCCACTCTGAGGGGACACTCACGTCCTCCGGCTTGAGCTGCCAGTTTCTGATGTCGGCTTTGAAGGCGCCCACGATGACAACGTAGACGACCACGAGTAGGTTCACCAGCGTAAATACATTGTTGAATCGTGTGGACTCCTTCACGCCTATTGCCAACATGCCTGCGAGAGATAAGTTTGCGTGAGCATAGCTCGCACAGCATGTTTACACACACTTTTTTAATTTAACAGTAAGACAAACTAAGCCTAACATTTCTGAGAGCCAGCCTCTACCAAAAGATACATCAGTTATTTAAGAAAAATTTATCAGAACCATGCATTATTTTTTTTTATCCACACTTTTCTTAAGTTAACAATCTGCCCTCTCTCACTGTTGAGGGTACCAGCAAACTTGGAATCTGGCAACACGCGAACCCTACAGTACACCTTCGAGGCTGCTAGGGCCTTGAGAAGAAAACGTTTAAAAACCTCAAGATGGGAATTGGCACCTTAAGGCTGCCTCACACATTTGTGTTTAAGTCTGACCGAGTCCGTTGTGCCCGCGTTAACTGCTTACGAGAGAACACACCCACAGACTGGCACCGTTCACCCCATAGCACCGGAACACTTCCGACCTAGGTGTGATTACTCAGCGTTTTGCAGTATCAGGACTACTATGCGAGAGCATGTGTCAGGCAGCGATCTATTGACAACCCGCATTCGTCATTTGTGCTCGTATATTTCTACAGCAACAGCCTTTAGTGGGGACCTCCCCGGGGAATCGCGTGGTCGTTGTTCGCAAAATCTCCCGGTGCCTCGAGCGTGCACATGCATCCAGAGTGTGGGTCAAAAAGCAATGTGCACGTGCTAAGAACCAGGCATTCGAAAAAAACAAAAGAGCAACGAGCACGTGCTAAGAACCAGGCGTTTGAAGAAAGCAAAAGAGCAACGAGCACATGCTGAAGGCCAGTTGTTCAAAAGAGCAACCTGCCATTCTCACTTTGACAGAGGCTGTAGCCGACACCCCGTTGTGCCGGTGCATTTGCACGACCGTCCAAGCAAATGAACTTGCATGCCGTATGGCGAGACCTCGTAACTTTTGTAGCAGGTCCGAAGAATGCAACTCACAGTTACGGTGCACTGAAGAGCCTGGTCGTAAACGAAGCGAAAATGGCATGAAAATCCAAAGAATTGTGCTCGGGAAGAAGCGCAGAAATTACGGCGATGCCACAATGATAGCAAAATGTTAGAACGCCGAGGTCCTGCCGCCGTGCTACACGTTGCGAGATAGCATAAATGCACAAGAATTTTTTAATGCAATGTGTAGTTTTAAGGACAAAAGTGAGCGTCTTCATTCAATCCCTTCTTCGCGAAACATGCTGATGCAACTGGGGGATCGCAGTATCCTCCAGTGACAATATTTGGATGCGGCTCATAGATTGGACCCGAGCATTATGGGGGCACTCGATTTGGTCTGGTGATAATCAATTGCTAGAGAAGCATTCGAGTGATGGATGAAGAAAGGATAAAACAATTAAAACAGGGACAACACAACCACATCTTTAATTCGAGTGGTGGCGTATGTCCAATCGCTGCGATGACAACAATAGCCGAACCATAACAATGTATGGAACTCAGAGCATGTCATGTGCCTTGCCAACCCCAGCGCATGGCTATGATCAACATTAGCGGCATACAGTAAAACCTCGTTATAACAAAATGGGTTATACCAAACTAATGGATATAACAAAGCAATCATAATTCCCCTTGCTTGCTAATAGGGAAGAAATGGACATTGGCTATAACAAACTAATGGTTATAACGAAATAATTACGATCGCTCCTTCAACTTTGTTATAACGAGGTTTTACTGTATAATCGACTCCAGATAACATGACCACTTGTTCTGGCTGCGTGTTGATGGGGTGAACGCTGTAAGTTTTGCATTAATTTTTCCTGCATTTTCAATTGCGTGTGGTCAAAAACGAAATGGGTGTTTCACAGGTCATTAACGTCAGGGATCCGATCGAAGTGGTGTCATGGGCCTGTCATAATCCCGGCAGTCGGCGCTGTAGCTACTAGCGCGCCGAGTATATAAGCTCATGCTCCGCACCTAATAAACCAGTTCATTGCCAGACTCTGACTAGACTACATGGTGTCAGAAGCGAGGTGAAAAGAACAAAGAAGATAGCATGGCGTCGTTGCTGCTCAACCCGCCGAAACTGCTGGATACAACGGGCGACCTGTGGCAGTCCTGGCGCATCTGGAAGAGTGAGTTTAAGCTTTTCTCGACTGCAACGATGCTCACAACGAAACCTAAGGAAGTACAAGCAGCCACCTTCCTTATGACGATAGGTGAAGAGGCTCGGAAAACATACGCGACGTTCGTTTTTGAAGCAGAGGAGGAATGAGACGACGTTAACGTGCTCATGAAAAAGTTTGAGAGCTTCTACCGACCTGCCACGAACCTGACATACAACGAGTTTCGTTTCGGCACCCGAGATCAGCGAGAAGGAGAAACCTTTAACGAGTGGCTAACAGAGTTGCGTTTGTTAGCAAGTCGCTGCGAGTTTGGCGTGTTAGAAGAGCGTATGCTTCGAAGCCGAATCATCCTCGGGATAAAAGACAAAAAAACTGCAACAGAAGCTGATCTCAGAAAACCCGCCATACGCAAAGGCCGTCGAAATATGTCGAGTTCGAGAACAAGGTCAGGAACAGTTAGAAAAGATACAAAGCTTCGCGGAACTAAAGCATGCAGCCGTTGTTAATTGTATGGAAGCATCATGCCCGAAGTGTGGATTTTCCGCGCACCGAGACCAAAAATGCCCAGCAATAGGAAAACGCTGCCAGAACTGCAGTGGCTACAACCATTTCGCAAAAGTATGCAGAAAACCGAAAAAAATCACCCGAAACAGCACGACCAAAAGCAAGTACGGGAGATTCATGCAGATAGCAATAGCGAAGAAGAATATTTCCTGCAGACTTTGCGAATGGCAAGTGTCTCCAACAGAAACCTTTGGTCAGCCCAGGTTCACGTTGAAGGCGAGCCGCTCGACTGTAAGCTTGATACCGGAGCGGATTGCTGTGTCATGTCAAAACAGTTGCTCCGGCGACTGACAGATAAGCTAACGCGGAAATGCAACGTGGCTCTGAATGGGTTTTTTGATCATATGAAATGTGCAAGAGAGCACGTTGCACTAACGCTCCGATGTGGGACCCACACAACTACAGCGCAGTTCTTTGTGATGGATCAAAACATACCCCTTACACTTAGCAGATCGGTCGCAGAAGAGCTCGGATTAATCAAGTGAATGGCAACAATTACGAGCAGCGACCTGTACGAAGCAGCCAAGCCTTTTGATGATGTGTTCCAGGGACTCGGCAGACTAAAAAACATCTCGTACAAGATGAAACTGAAACCTGGAGCACAAGGTATCGTTAAACCACCGAGGAAAGTGCCCATTGCTTTGAGAGATAAGGTTAAAAAGGAACTCGATCGCATGGAGCAGGATCAAGTAATAACCGAAGTCACAGAACCTACAGATTGGAGTAGTAACATGGTCGTTGTTACAAAACCCAACAAGATCCGCATCTGTCTGGACCCGTCGGACTTAAACAGAGCCTTATTGTGCAAACATTCCCCAAAGCCAGTATTGGCAGATGTCTTGAATTCTCCGGGTCTGCACGGTGCGAATTACTTTTCCACTCTTGACGCCTCCTCTGGGTTCTGGCAGATTGCTTTAGACCACGAGAGCTCCTACTCGTGCACTATGAGCACACCATTTGGACGGTACAGGTTCTTGAGGATGCCATTCGGCATTTCATCAGCTCCGGAAGTTTTTCACCGGGCAATGGACACTGTTCTAGAAGACCTTACAGGAATAGCCGTTGTCATGGATGACATTTTGGTCTGGGGAGCAACCAAGCAAGAGCATGATGCAAGCCTGCAGAGGCTGCCACAACGCTGCCGAGTGGCCAACCTGAAGCTCAACAAAAAGAAATGCAGTTTTCTTCCGAAAGAGGTTTGCTACCTTGGACACGTCACAACCGCGGAAGGTCTTCAAGTTGACCCCCAACGCGTGCAGGACATTCTAGCAGTTCCTGCCCCGACTAACTGCAAGTCCCTGCAAATATTCCTCGGCATGGTTAACTTCATGTCTCGTTTCGTACCAAATATGTCTTCGATTGCAGCCCCGCAGCGAGGACTGCTGCGTAAAAAAGTCGTGTGGGATTGGACGGACCGACACCAGAACAGTTTCAAAGTCCTGCGACAGAGGCTGATGGAAGCTCCAGTCTTGGCGTACTTCAGACCAGGCAAGCCTGTTACTTTGTCTGTCGACGCGAGCCAACACGGCGTTGGAGCTGTCCTCCTTCAAGACGGACACCCGGTTGCGTACTCTTCAAGATCCCTCACGGATTCACAACGCAACTACGCACAAATTGAAAAGGAAACTTTAGCTATAGTTCACGGCTGCACGAAGTTTCATGACTACATCGTAGGACAGCCCGAAGTCACTGTTCAATCCGGCCACAGACCCCTTGAATTTATATTCAAAAAGCCCCTTTCCGAGTGCCCCCTCAGACTGCAAAGGATGCGTCTCATTCTACAAAGATACCCGATAACCGTGAAGTTCAAGGCAGGAAAAACTTTGCTAATTGCGAACGCCCTTTCGCGCTTTCCAAGCAAGATCGTCTTGAAAGACGAAGAGCACTTCCACGTGAATGCATTGACGTACCTTCCTATTTCAGACGCCAAGCTGAAAATAAAGTTAGATGCAACAGAAAGGGACCCAGTGATGCTGCAACTTTGCGACTACACCAGCACATCATGGCCCGACTCGAAGGATGACGTACCGGATGAGCTAAAACTATACTGGAACTATCGCGATGAAATTCACGTAGAAGACGGCCTGGTATTGTGAAGTAACAAGATAATCGTCCCGAAAGCAAACAGAAATGAAGTTTTGAAGCTTTTGCACGCGGCGCACTGTGGAGAGGAAAAAAAAACAGAGCAAGGGAAGTCATATATTGGCCAAACATCACGAGTGACATCACATCACTAGCACACTCGTGCACGCTGAGTCAAAAATACAAACCCAGAAACGTGAAGCTTCCAATGCTTAGCCACAACGTACCAACCCTCCCTTGGCAAATGATAGGAGTCGACCTTATTCATCATGACGGTCACGAGTTTCACATTGTAGTCAACTACTACTCCTTTTTTTTTTGAAACCAAGTAACTTCACCAAGCAACAGCGGCCACAGTGATTTCTGCCTGCACCGAAATATTTGCCACTCGTGAACTGCCCGTCCAGATATGCAGCGACAACGGGCCACCGTTCAGCAGCAAGGCATTTAAGGACATCTTGGCGAGCCTGCAGATCCAACAAGTATTTTCAAGTCCTTACCATCCCCGTTCCAATGGAATGGCTGAACGCGCAGTCCAAGAAGCAAAGAAGCTTTTAATAAAGTGCTCTCGAGGCAAAGTAAGGTTCTGTTTAGCACTGGCTAGAATGGCGCAACACGCCTAGAGATGCCCACCTCAAGTCGCCGGTACAGCGGTTAATGGGGCGCCAAACAAGAACACTGTTGCCCGTTACCACAAGTCATATGAAACCCGAAACCGTACCAACAGAGGTAGTGACAAGTCGTCAGAAGGAAATTCGAGACAAGCAGAAGGCTTCATACGACCGAACAGCGCGCCAGCTTCCTGATTTGCGACCAGGTTTCCCCGTAACCGTTTATGACAGTTTGCAGAGAACCTGGACTCCCGCGGTCATCGAAGCCACAACATATGCACCCAGGTCTTACGTAGTCAGCACTGAAGATGACCAGAGCAAAAGACATACTAGGGAAGATTTGCAACTTCTGCCGACTACTACTACAGTTGAAAATGCCCCGCCGGTCCACGGAAACGGAACAGCCGATACTTCGAGTCAACAGACACCTCCCGGGGACGACCAGGTTGGACACGCACAGTCATCTGCAGATGAAGACGCGACCGCCGGAGCTACCAACGTTCAATCGGCTACCCCAGAGCGCAGAAGTACGTGACTACGGAGGAAACCTCAGTGATAACCAACCTCGGAACGCAAGCGACCTGAAGAGGAGGAAGATGTCATGGGCCAGTCATAATCCCGGCAGTCGGCGCTGTAGCTACTAGCGCGCCGAGTATATAAGCTCATGCTCCGCACCTAATAAACCAGTTCATTGCCAGACACTGACTAAACTCTGACTGCATGTTGATGGGATGAACGCTGCAAGTTTTTGATTAATTTTTTCTGCATTTTCAATTGCGAGTGGTCAAAAACGACATGGGTGTTTCACAGGTCATTAACGTCAGGGATCCGTTCTAAGTGGTATCTGCACAAAGTACAAAATCGCTGCATTGCCCCTTTAAGTATGGTACCGTAGTGAGAGGCTTGGAGGAACTATTTGATTCAATAATATTTGTCCAAAACCACTATTCGCTTCAAACTCAAAATCCCATATTTGCACATGACTAGAGACTAAATGCACCATTTACTATAGGGCATACAACATTGACAAAATTATTTCTAGCCCACAGTGAAAGAATGACGTAAAAAGCTGGGGACCACCCGATAGATGACACCAGTGTGTCACAGCATTCTCTCGTCATAAGCGGTCACAAGCGAGCAGAACGCATCCGGTCACATCCAAATGCAAATGCGTGACCGAGCCACTAGTCAAAAGTGGGCATCATTATACGTGACTTCCACGTGATGTCACCCCTCTGCACCAACGGTCATTTCAACTTGTTCTTGTCGAAAAAAAGAGTTCAACAATGCCAAATATATGCTGCAGAAGTTACATGTATGGCAGCAGGGTTCTTCACAATTTCTGCTGAAGTGAAGTCGGTGCAATTGTTGGGAGGGTAGGTGCTGAACGCATGGTAGCCTTTGAAGACAAGGACAAAAAGAGAACTGCAGGAGCGCACGGTGGTGTCCAGTTCTCCTCCTATTGTTCCCGTCTTTGAGCACCACCATGTATTTCCAAATACTGACGAGACGTCGAAACGTCCAGGAAGCAAGTCTCTCACCAGCGAGGAAAAGTGTGATGGCCAGAGCAAAGACGTCGGGGTAAGTGGAGAGCCAGCTGACACCCAGGGGCATCCACTCCCTGAAGTGGGTCTCAATGGTGTGGTTGAGCAGACTGTCCATGTAGCCACTGTAGCCGCGGGCCACCGACGCGGTTCCTGCAATGCCAGTTTCACTGCTTAGTGTGTGTGCTTTCCGTGTTGCACATTTCCACTTCTTTTTCACTTTGTCTTGCAGCTAACAGCAGTAGCATGAAAAAACTCTAGCGTCTGCTACAGCGACAGAGTTCCACATTTTCATTGGGCATCACCAATTTGAGCAGAACCTTTAAGAAAAAAAAATGGCTGCGGAAACCACTATTGTTGGTTGTCTATGAATTGTGATAGCATTCGTCAGGAGACTCACGACGCAGCTCACTGTGAGTACGACGACGCTGCAAAAAATCAATGAATTTTGTCCAGCGACTTTTGCTCTGCGCATGGAATCAGCTCAGTGGCTGCTACGTCGAGCACAAAACAAGCGTGCCGTGGTGTGAAATTCGTCGGTTATTCATAGCATAATTCGCTCCATGGAGTTCAGCCTTGAACACTTTATTTCATGAATGGTTAACGACGCAATCATTGACGTCAGCACGACTGCAGCACACCACTATGACATTTGAAATTTGGGGATTTTATGTGCCAAACCGACGGGGACCTGGCATGCTCCAGCGGAGGACTGAAGATTAATTTCCACCACTTGAGGATCTTTTCGTGCTACCGAAAACTCGGTTACACGGCGCCTTCTCTGCAATAAGCCTCCGTCAGATTGCGGGCATCTCGGCTGGGATTCAAGCCCACCACCTGAGGATCCGTAGGCCGATGCTTTGGCCCGGAGCAACCAAGGCGGCTACGCCCCTACGAAATTGAGCAATTGCTTAGTCCCTGTGTGATCGTTAATCTTCTGACTCTGAGTAATTGTTTATTGTGCAAGCTGTTTCACCAACATCACTGACCCTGTACCACTTAGCTTAGATTAACTCAAACTGGTAATTGCTTCTTAGCTTGGGCACAAATGTGAATGTGCGCATACTGCCGCTTTGTGTATTGGAAATGTCACGGGTTTATCTGCTTGCTAGGACGACGTCCAGAACAACCTCTAGAATGACCTCTAGGGCGATCTCAAAAACGACATCTAGGACGACGTCCGCACATGCACAGCGCCGGCGTATGTGGACGTCCTGTGTATGCGGGCGTCCTGAATGTGCGGAGGCACCGCACATACGCACAGCGCATTCGAGGCCAGGTAGCATATTGCTAAAACCGCGTGAAGTACCTAAAGAATGCTATCACATTAAAAAAACAATGGCAAGCTTCTCTGACCAATAATTAAGTCAGAATCAACTTTCCAACACCAGAAATGAGTGGAACACTAAGCTCCTACACCCGACTCCCTTGTAGCACAACCAACACCAGCTATATGCCTGCATTTCTTGTAACTAAGCTACCCTTCCCATGATTTGCACTTGATCACTTACCACTGCAACCTACTGAGCACAAAATGTGAAAAGGTGAAATTTTTAATGAAAAACTCAGCAAGAACGGATGTGTGGAGTGCAGTAAAAACACGACAGTCATAGCCCTTCCCCACCAACTGCAGCCTCACCAATGACGTACTCCAGGATGAGATTCCAGCCAATGACGAAGGCCATGAACTCCCCGACGGTGACGTAACTGTAGATGTAGGCCGATCCGGCCTTGGGGACACGGGCGCCAAACTCGGCATAGCAGAGACCTTTCTCGCCGAGCAGACACCCCAGAAAGACAAAAAAGGAAGAGCAGAGTTAACTTTGAAAAATGCAAAACTTCAGTTCGCGCCTCACGAACGCGAAATCAGATTTTCGGCGTTATGCCAGGTTAGGTAGTGATTCCGTTAGAGGAATACTACGGTACAGTTTGGAATTATTTTTTGTGTTGTGCGTATGCTTAAAGGGCAACTCCGGTCCATACTTTCGATTTTGGGATTATGACAGTTTTTAGTGCAGTCAGCGTCCCTGGATTGCAAGGTGCAATTTTTTTATCGTTATTGTGCGTAGTTTTAAAGATATGACACCTCAAAGTTTTGTTTGGGGCGTGGCCAGCAAAACCGAAACTAGCCGCTCGAGGCCCCGGCAACACTGGAAATCAGCCGCAATGTGAACGTGACGTCAGGATCGTTCTCGTGCAACGAGTACGCTGGCCGAGAGGCACTTAACTCTATTGCGCTAGCCGTCTAAAGATAGAAATGCAGGCCTGTGGGCTGTGGGGGTGCGCTATGCCGTACTCGTCGCTTGTATACCCAGAAGCTAGCGACTGGAAAACGAGTGAACTCGTTCAGTGCCGTACTGGGTGGCTGTCGCCATGCGTACGGTCTTCCGTACTCGTCGCTAGGCCTAAATTGTCATCGGGGCTCCGTGGATGGAGCGGCATTGCTCTACGCCGCGCTGCCAGTGACGTACAGTACTGGGGGCCCTCTCGCTTTCCCGCTGCGGGTCAGTCCCAGACACGGAGCTTTGAGGCTCTCTGGCGTGGGCCCCGCGGCGCCCGAACACACACGTGTGCTGGGCTGTACACGTCTGTTTTTTCCTTCTTTTTTTCCTCGGACGCGTAAAAGCGGAAGTCCAAAGTCCACTCGTCGAACAGTGTTCACCCACACCTTCTCCAATTTCCGGTCCGTTGGAAACTTGTGAGAAAGCACCTCCGGGTTGCGCAGCGGGTTGTGTGAGCAGCCCACAGCGCTACAAGTTGTACTCGGCATCTTTCGAGGAACAGCTAGGCAGTCTTGGGCGCACCGAGTTGCTCGATAAAACGAGTCTTGGAGTCCTCACAAGCAAATAAACAAAAGGCGATACCGAAGCTACACGGGCTACAGATAAAAGCAACGGCTAAACACGCCAATCACAAGCCGAAGTAGCGGTGGTAGCGGCTCAAAGAAGCGCACTCCGCGCAACGCCCGGACCGGAGGAAAAAAAGAGCACGATACGGACGTCACGGCCCAATGTTGCTTTAGCGATCGGCAACCCGCTGGCCGCCCGCTAAGGAGCAGCGGCTCGCGGCGGGTCGCTGCCGCGAAAGCAACAGCTTCCACAGATAAAAAAAAACAAGATAAGATACAAAGTATGATTGCACCAAGAACAAACAAGAATATAGGTCAGTCCAGAAGCACAGCCAGATTATTACTTCCCAAAAACAACAGTTTTGTTTCATCTGCTATTTCAACTGCATGTAGCCATAAGTTCCATTCCATTATGGGAGGAGCTGGAATAGCCTTCTGAGAGATGAGAACATCCAGGCACTTCCTCGTTTACACTTTCAGAAAATCACCCACCTGAAAAAACGGATGCCACAGCAGCTATTAAGAAGGAGAGCACCACAGCTGGCCCTGCCTTGGTGCTCGCCACCTGTCCAGCCAGCACATAGATGCCCAGGCCAAGTGTGCCACCGACCCCTGCACAAATGGAGCCGAGAAAAATTAAGAGCTGTCTCACACTTTGTTCAGGTACACCTCCATCATGCCACACTGAGAGGGTGAATGTTCAACAAGTATAGTTTTCCACATATTACCCCATGTAACAAAGTTCAGAACCCTCCAATCAGCTCGTCAGAATGTATGCGTCTGCAATAAGCCTTTGTCAGACAGCAGACATCGGCCAAGTTTCAAATATGCCGACTCTGCCTCGGAGCCACCGATGTGGCTCGCAAATGTACCTAGGAAATACATTTGCAATATCTTGCTACTGCAAAACAGCTCAATCCTGTATAACTGGTCCTCTAATTATGCAAAGAATGAAAGGAAATTCTTCAGACATACTACATTTAGATGCAAGCCCAAAAAAGCACTGAATTCCGTATATAACACTGCCTTTCCTTCCATGAAAATATGGGATCGTACGAGGCTCAAATGAACACTGATGTGAAAACAGTGCGAGACATGCACTTTGCACCTCAGTATTGGTGCTTGCATACAGCCCTTCATAATGCACGTGTACCTGGAAGGTATATTATTGAATAAACAAGCACGCACCAAGAAGGGTAAGGTCGAATGTGGAGAGACATCGGTTGAGTTGGGACACCTCGGCCCCTTCGGTGGTCACCTGGATGGATAAATAGATTGATGAATGCGGCTGCACTCTCTAAATGGGGTGGCAGCTTGCGCCACCTGTTTGGTGTCTTTAATTTCAGTGACTAATACCTATCATGGATATCAAGAACATACCTTTTTGCGTCGAACGAGGGCCCCTACAAAGTTTTTGAGTGGGTTCCCCATGGCCTGTGGTGTGGGGGTGCTCTGCTTGGCTGCACAACAGAATGAAAATGGTAAGTTGCTTTCAAGGTTTGAAGAGAGCAAACAAGACAAGTTCATGATGACACAGCTCATACACACGACTAGATGGCAAGGAATGCTTCAGGGACGTTTGGCAAGGGTATGAGAGCCGAGGAGCATTCTGGATAAATGACACAAAAAGAAATATTCCATGAGCCTGGTGCCAGCAGAATAGTTTCTGGATAGAGGTTCTGGAAGTAGAGCTCCACTAGAAAGGTTCAGAAACGCATGTCCTAAAATAAAGGCTTCAACAGGAACATTCCAAAAAGAAAGTCCTTCCAGTCCAGGTGATAATCAACACAGCTGGAGACTGATTTTGAAACTTGCCCCAGCTAGGTCCAGCTTGGGCCAGTTACATAATCTCCTATTAACTGGACAACTTTTCCCCAGGGATTTTTTCAGGGAGAGAAGTTCCAAAAGAAAAGCCGGGAAAACAGTCCACGATTCGCTCAAAACTCTGCATTCTTAAGACTTTTTGTCACATGTTGGTAGGATTTTGGGGGCCACGGATGTTTGCTAAACCAGCCTTTCGTCAGCTGGTATCACAAGATTTACCAACCACAATTGCTAGGTGACAGCTGGTAAATTCCCAGTTATATGTTACAGCCAGTTACCAGTTACAGCTGGTAAATTCCAGTTACAGTTACAGCTGGTAAATTCCCACTATTTGCTGGCATATTAATTTTTTTATGTCCCGTGAACTTTAATTCCATGAAACTTGCTCATTTCTTATTTAATGTGTGCAAAGTGGGAATACAGTAATTTTGATAACAAGAACGTCAGTCTCTTTCTCACTAATGACGGCTGTAGCTGTTGCATCTCTTTACCTTGCTTATGAAGAGGATTGTGAAAGACCAAAAGATATGCTACAATAAAAAAATATGAATGACATACCACTACTAATTATTCATGGATTGAATTCAAAGAGTATACTACCAGCAAGTGTTGGGGCCAACTAAGAACTTCTTAAATGTCAGAATCAAGGTTCTACACAGTATCACGGTTTAAACTGAAAGTACACAGGGCATTCCTCTGATGCATGGCTACGAGGAAAACAGCTCAATCTTTGACTGAGCAATATTCTCAGAATAAAACTTCTATATGGAATGTATATATAACGAGCTTAAGCTTTCCAGCTGAAGTCATAGAACTTTGTGAGAAATATTAATACCTATTCAGCTCAATGGTAATAGGGTGACCACCTTCCTGCCAGCGAAATGCGGGACAAGGGGGGGGGGGGGGGGGGGGGTAGAGGAAATTTGTTAACACTCACACCACGAACCGAGGCTCTGTAAAAACAGATTTAATACCCTGTTCTGTTCATACACCTGCAAATCGTATATCACCAATTAAGCTCAAATAATTTTCACTCCCAGTGCTAAATTTTTTTAATGCTAAATTTGCTATTACATATGTCGAAGTTGAAAGCATAAAAATCGACTGCAGCAGAACTCGATGCGTCAATTGCATATAAGAGACGGCAAATCTTTTTCGGGTTATTATTTCCTGTCAACGTTTACTTTTATCAACATGGTCATACACAAATTTTTAACATTATGTTCTTTTCGACCTTTGTGACTTGCAGGCTTTTTGCCTTGAGTGGCTGTCTTCACTAAAAATAAATTCCACAACAACCCTTTCGCATTGACACAGCGATGTGAAAATAATTACAATAATTTATATTTAAACTTTTGGCTAGCAATTTTCTCTTACAATATTTTGCCACCAAGGGGAGAGGCACAACGGCGCATGAGCGTCGGTTCTCTTGCAAGAACAATGGTCCCTTCCCGCAATGCTTGTATGGAAGATGGCGTACCATTGCGATTAACACGATTACCAGCAATCTCCACGCTTCACCGTGCCCCTTTGTTCGGCAGCACCATGAGTTGCAGAGTGAATTTTACGACAGTGTGAAATGCGGGACATTTTGAAGATTCAGGAATTTCTCGCGGGACGCGGGACACGAGCCCTCAATGCGGGACAGTCCCGCGAACCGAGGGACGGGTGGTCACCCTAGTAGGTAATGATAGTGTGTGGATGTGATGGAATATGCGTGACAAAACACATGCCATAGTACACAGAAAGCCGAGTACAAAGGACACACTGATCTGAAGGCATTCTTGTAATATAGAAAGCAGAAAGAAGTATCTTCTCTCAAATACAGTGGGCATTATGAAAATTTTAATAATTGGCACTTGCAACGTTACCAAAAGTTTGTTTTGAGCTTCCAGAGACCCAAAAACCATGAAGGAGAAAAATATTGTCCCCTTTCAGGAGAAACAAAACTTCTGCTGAGTCAACCGGCTAAGTTTAAAGCCAATATGCTACTACTACATTTGTATTTGAGCACTGCACAGGTTTCACCGATTCTTCACAGAACTCAAGACAAAGGCTTAAAACATACAAAAACACAGAGTATATGTAGGCTAACTGATAAACTTCAATGCATTGAATTTATTTATCCTTGTCAGAAAGAGAAAAAATATTAAAATTTTAATGTCTATAGCTTCTTAGTGTCAACCATTTTTACAAACAATAAAAATATTGCCGCAAAATGTTCCGTGTCTAGGGTGCTTCATCATAAAGAAAAGCAGGTAATGAGAGGAAACCTCAATAATTATTGAAAGACCAAGAGAAATCAATAAGAGTTTGCCAAAGCGCTAGTGTGCAGGGAAGCCCTATTATCTTAAAGAAAAACTGGATATTAGTTGATTCAGATTATGTCTACAGACTGAAAAGCTGAGCAAAACTAAGTATAAAAGATAAAAGGGTTATTTGGCTGGGAACTGATATCTGCAGTTTTCAAAGCCTGTGTGAAACAGGCACCAAGGTTAAAACTTCTGTTTCGAAGAGCAGGAAGCAACTAAACTTTAAAAAAAAAAATCTTTTTTTATGGCTCCAGCTGCAGCCAGTTCATTCACTGCCTCACATGGGAGTAGGCTTATTTCATATGTCCTATCCTGGGTGGGTTGTACAGTTTTTCCCTGTCCCAAACCATATAGCCTTAAAAAACACCTGAAAAGAAAAAAAAAATTTTTTTTTTTAAACAATGGTTGGGACACGCATGCCAAAAAAATTAATTTATGTGAAAAAATCATTTTTAGAGCAATATTGATGACGCGAGACGCAATTTACTAGGTAGTCACCTCCTTTCCACTTGTTTTCTCTCTTTGGATTTCGAGCATGGGGAGGAGAGGTGGATCGGCTTGGCCATCACGTTAAGGTGTAGAGAGCGTATGAACGTGTCGCTGAGGTGGAAAGAATGTAGGACCATTCCGTAACATCGTGAACTTTGCACGCAGAATTTGAAATAAATCTCGCGCCATCAATAATGCTCTAAAATTGATTTATTTTTTTGCGTAAAATATAATTTTTTGACATGCGTGTCCCAACCAGACTGTTTAAAAAAAATGTTTTCTTTTCAGGAGCCTTTTAAGAGCAGACCAATTTTCTTGCTCATTTGTGCTTCATAGACATCCGTTTTTGGTCTTCCTTTGGTCAGCTAACGACAAGCTGATGCAGCACCACCAGAAGTTTAGTGGGTAGTGACAAAAAAATCTGCCAAATCTCGACTTCCCGGCTTTATTTACGCAAGTAACTTCCAAAGTACCTCGTACAAATATAGCATCAACATTTTGTGATTCATGGCTAAAACATGTATCACCATGGCAAACATGCACAGCTATAGTAGCTGTTCAGACTGCCAAAATATCATTGCTATTTGCCTTTTTCTATTAGGCAACAAACTCTGTGGCGCCATTATTGGGTAGCACGGCACACTTACGTTTCACGTATATTTCCTAATTTTTTTTACTCATAATTCTTTGATGATAACAGTGAATCAAGTCTGACGGTGCTACGAGTGGCAAATTCCAGAAGATAGCGTAAATATCTGATTTCGCTAATACTGCGAAACCCGCCGTCTAGTTCACACCAGAATGGTTGGGGGCTATTTGCACATCAGCACCACCACAATTCAACATACGCGAGAAAAAGTGAATATCAAACAAGTAAGGTATGCAAACAGACGTTATAACAATTTGTCATTTGCTTAAATAAAAAAGAAATAAAAAAATGTGTTGAATATATATACTACTCCCTCTTTTCAAGATAACGTTTGAATTCAGACTGCCCAGACTGCTTCCACCTCCAAGGAGCGTTTTTTTTCTGTTCCGAAGATGATGCTAACCATGTTACCCTGTGAAAAGCCTCCCACTAATATTATATCAAAAATTGGCAAAAATTAAGTTTCCATAAGAGGTATTTTACTCGTATGATGTGACTAAATTTTACATTTGAAGCTAGAAAAAGCATATTTATTAGTTAAAGTCATAGATCACCTGTGCCACCATCTGCACCACCAAGGAAATTGTGCAGTATCCCCATGACCAAAATCGCACTGCTAGTATCGTAGACTGCATCCCCAAATTCAGTCACACTTCCAAATTTCTGCCTAGTATGTTACTTTTTAGTTTAATGCACAAACTGTTCTGTCAACTCTGTAAAACTGTAGCCCTGTATATCAAGCTTACAGATCTTCCTACCAAAGAAACAAAATGAACCTTAACACAAATGAGTAACCTGCCGTTTGTGACAAGTGGCACACTCACTGCCACTAGATCCTACTTCTAAACTGTTGGCTGACAATGAAATGTTCAACTTGAAACTGCTAGAACTTTAAAGAAATATAGTGCTCTGTACAGACTTTAGTCCTGGACACCTTTATGGGACTGTATGTGTGTATCTGTGTCATGGTTAGCAACCTGAACTGTAACAAGTGTGAGAGGTACAGAGCACCTAAATTTCAGACAAAGAACAATGGTCATGCTGATACCACTTCACTGAACTGTGACAAAACAGTCAAATTTGTGTGTTTTACGTGCCAAACCAACGAATGGTATCTGGCTCGCCCCAGCAGAGGACTAGGGATTATTTCAACCACCTGGGGATCTTTTGATGCGCAACTGAAAGT